TGCAAATGTCTCTTATCAAAGGGCAAGCAAACTCTGCTCCTCCGAGCCTGCTTCTCATCTGCAGTTTTAAAATTAACCAGCCTAAAATCCTTATCAGATTATTTTCATTGACAACACCCACTAGGATGGCTTTAATTAAAACAAACAAACAAAACCCCAGAAAGTAACAAGTGTTAGCAAGGATGTAGAGAAATGGAATCCTCAGATATCATGGGTGGGAATGTAAAATGGTGTAGCTGCTGTGGAAAACAAGTTGATGATTCCTCAATAAGTTAAAGAAAATTACCATATGACCAAGCCATTTCACTCTGAGTATACCCAAAGGAATTGAAAACAGGTTTTCAAAGAAAAACTTGTGCACTAATGTTCGTAGCAGCACTACTCACAATAGCCAAAAAGTGGAAACAAATTGTGGTATATCCATACAATGGAATATTATCCAGTGATAAAAGGGAATGAAGTATTGATACACAACATGGATGACTAGAAACCATTATGCTGAGTGAAATAAGCCAGACACAAAGGTCACATGTTGTGTAACTTCATTTATAAATCAATTCTCTCTTTTTTTGGTAAGGAAGATTTGCTGTGAACTAACATCTGTGGCACTCCTCCTCTACTTTGTATGTGGGATGCCTCCACAGCATGGCTGATCAGTGGAGTAGGTCTGCACCTGGGATCCCAACCCTGTGAACCCGGGCCACTGGATTGGAGCGCCGGAACTTTAACCACTCAGCCACGGGGCGGCCCCTCCATTTATACGAAATATGCAGAAAAGACAACTCCACAGAGACAGAAAGCAGATTAGTGGGCTGGTAATTGCCTAGGACTCGGGAGAGAGAGAATAGGGAGTGACTGCTTAGTTAGTACAGAGTTTCCTTTTGGGGAGACCCACTCTGAATCCCCTACTGGAAATTGTAGACACTCCTCCAACTCTCAACGTTTCTCCAATTCAATTTTTTTTCCTCCATAGCACATCACCATCTAATGTACCCTACCTATTTTACTTATTTATATATCTATTATCTCTCTCCCACACAAGAATGTATGCTCCATGACAGCATGAATTGTGTCTGTTTTGTTCACTGATGTGCTCTCAGAACCTAACAGTGCCTGTCACATAGTAGGTGCTCAGTAAATATTTGTTTAATAAATGAATGTATTTCAGCATTGAGAGAGTGCCTGCCATATTCCAGGCACACAGAAACACAATGAAGCAGCAGCATTGTATACAAAGGGTTGTAGTGAGGTGTGCATAAGGCAATAACTCTGCATGGGAGGTTGGAGAAGAATCCACTGAGAGAATGATGCTCTAGGTGGAAGAAATAGCATGCCCACAGGAACCTCATGATTAGTTCCTTTACGCAGGATGTCTATTCATCTCTGTGTCTCCAAGGCCTAGAATAATGCTAGGCCCTCAATACAAGAAGGAATGTGACCAATGCCAAGGGCTGCAGAGCAGTCACACAGGATGAGACTGACCAAGGCTGTGCTCTCATAAACGGTAAGCATTCCGCAAGTGCCTCCTTTCACTATTACATAATGCCTCGTGCTGTAGGCTGTGGAGATGAGGCTGAGATACCTCTTGTCCCCAGGGTGTTGACAGTCCAGCAGGGGTAACACATGTGCCATCTCTTCTATATTTTACATTCTTAAGGTTGGTCTAAGTACCTCGTGAGGGATACAGTGAGTGCTGGGGAAATCGTAGGGAAGAATAAACAGCCAGGACTGGGGCAGGCTGGGAAGAGGGTACAGAGGAGACAGCCTCTAAATTGTACCTTAACGGGAGATGAGGAAAGAGTACATTCCGGAGTGACAGTGGGGGGAGGCAGAGAAAGGGTGTGGTTCCAGGAGCCTCTGGGTTACCTGGATCAAGATGTCTAGCAAGCTTGTCCTTGTACTGCCTGGAGCACAGGAGAAAGCTCTGCTCTGGAGCGGTACATTTGACAGCGAGGGACCCATAATGCTTAAAGCCAGAAGAGCTTCCTGTGCATTCCTTCCTTCTGAGAGATGGAGAAATCAACGTGCAAAGAGGAAAGGCTGTCTGAGTCTATTAACAGCAGATGAAGGTCCCAGGAGCCCAATCTGGTCCAGTGCCCTTTTCATGACCCCACACTGCCCTACAGCCCTTGCCCGAGAGATCATCAGGGAGCCACAAGAGAGGAAGTCTAAAAAGGGTGCTTTGAACAGTGCAAGTTGATGAGGATTTTTAGGCTGCTTAATTTTAAAATGGCTTATGATGAGGATTTTTAGGCTGGTTAGTTTTAAAACTACAGATGAGATTCAGGCTCCAAGGAGTGGAATTTGTTTGCCCCTTTGTTGGGAAACATTTACATTTCTAAGGGAAACCTCTATCTGTGAAGATGCCTCCCTCTCTGTGCCAGGAAGAGGGGGGGATGGTCTTATCTCTAGAGGTTCTTGGTCAATGCCAGAGGCAAGAACTTAAGTTGGTTGCTGTCTGGCAATCTCATGTAACTGGTTTAGGGTGGTGGTGTCTAACCTTTCTAACCTTTACTTAATCCGATTTGATTCTTGTCTAAAAGTCATGGGATCACCCAATGACCAGACCCCACCCGCACTGATACCATTTTAACTTTTTTTCATGTTCTTTCCTTTGTCTTGTAAAGAGATGAATCATATACCTATGCCTTATAAAATTAGCCCTAACCCTCAACTCAGGGCAGCAGCAGGAGCTCTGACTGCCCGTGGGTCCTGTCCCCACGCACCAGCTCTGCCTGCCCATGGATCCTGTCCCCATGCCAGCGGGGGCAGCAGCAGCGGCTCTGCCTGCCCATGGGCTCTGTCCCCATGCCAGCGGGGGCAGCAGAAGCGGCGGCAGCAGAAGCTCTGACTGCCCATGGGTCCTGTCCCCATGCTATTCCACACTATTCTCTAAATAAAAGAGCACTACTGCCAGATCTTGAGAGTCTAAGAAATCTTTCTTTCGACTCCTCGGCTCACCGATCCCGCCTCACAAGTCATGCTGGGGGTAAAAGTGCATTGGGTAATGTGAGGAAGAAAAGGAGCCAGCAGGGGAGAAAGAAATAACTAAAGAAGCCAAAGAACTCGAATATGGAAGCCACAGCAAGGGGCCAGCCTGATGGCACAGGGATTAAGTTCACATGTTCCACTTCAGTGGCCCAGGGTTTGCTGGTTCAGATCCCGGGTGTAGACCTACACACTGCTTGTCAAGCCATGCTGTGGCAGGCGTCCCACATATAAAATAGAGGAAGATGGGCACGGACGTCAGGGCCAATCTTCCTCAGCAAAAAGAGGAGGATTGGCAGCAGATGTTAGCTCAGGGCTATAATCTTCCTCGAAAAAAAAAAGCAGCCACAGCAGACAGGATCTTGAAGAGATCTTTGCACACCAGTGTTCATTGCAGCATTATTCACAATAGCCAAGAAGTGAAAACAACCCAGTGTCCATCAATAGATGAAAAGATAAAGAAATTGTGGTATATACATACAATGGAATATTATTCAGCCTCAAAAAAGGAAGGAAATCCTGCCCCATGCAACAACAGGGATAAACCTTGAGGACATTATGGTCAGAGAAATAAGGCAGTCACAAAAGGGCAAATATGTATGACCCTGCTCTGTGAAGTCCCTAGAGTAGTCAAATTCATAGACAGGAAGTGGAATAGTGGTTGCCAAGGGCTGGGAGCAGGGGGAATGGGGAGTTGTCCCATGGGCATAGACTTTCAGTTTTGCAAGATGACAAAGTTCCAGAGATCTGGTCCACAACAATGTGAATATAGTTAACATTACTGAAGTGTATGCTTTAAATGGTTAAGAGGGTAAATTTTATATTAAGTGCTTTTTGCTACAATTAAAAGAAAAATTTTTAAAGAAGCCATTGTAGAAGAGAGTTGTGAGAAGAAGAGCGTGGTCAAGGTGTGAAGGATGCATGGAAGTCAAAGTCAGTTAGGGGTTTATGCGAAATCTTGGAGAGTCATTTGAGCAGAGAGTTTGGGGGAAAAGCCAGACCATGAGGGGTTAAAGAGGGTAAAGGTGGGGCTGGCCTGGTGGTACAGCAGTTAAGTTCGCGTGCTCTGCTTCGGTGGCCCGGGGTTCGCTAGTTCAGATCCCGGGTGCGGACCTAGCACCTCTCATCAAGCCATGCTGTGGTAGGCGTCCCACATATAAAATACAAGAAGATGGGCACAGATGTTAGCTCAGGGCTAATCTTCCTCACAAAAAAAAAAAGAGGGTGAAGGTGACATTGGGGGTGGCGTGGGGGAGGCAGCCAGAACAGACCTTCTCTGTTGTTTGGTGGCAACGGGAAAGAGATAACAAGTCGGAGTGGAGGGGGTAGACTGAAAGGGTGCGGTTGCGGGAAGGGTTATTGTTTTGTTTTTTTCATACAGAGAACACACCTAGCACACCTGTGGGTGGGAGAAGGCAGATTAAAGATGGGAGAGCAGTAAAGTGAGGGGGTGATGCTGGGGATCCTGGCAGAGAGGAGGGGGCAAATACAATGGTTAGCCTTGGTTGGAGGAGGGACACATGCTTTTGGAACAGGAAGGAGAAGGGGAAGGTGGTATGGGGGCACAGACAGAGTACTGTTTGTCAGATATTGGGAAGGATGTGGCCAGAATGGGGTGGCTGTACAGTCTATCTATAAATTCAGCCCACCACAAATTAAAACCAACTGCTACTGTGAGGAAGGGGGGCTGAGCTGCAGTCACGAGAAGTGTGGGAAAGCTGGGCACAGAAACCACTGGGCCGTGGCAGGGAGTCAGTGATGGATGGTGTTGCCTGGCTGGCAGACACAAACTGAGGCTGGTCAACACGGACGTGTGTTGGCCCGAAAGGCAAAGTCTGAGTCACTCTTTAGCACTGCCTGGAGTGGAGGAAAGGGCTGTGGGGCTGGTTCTGTTGGGGGAGCCAGCAGGGTAGAGGAAGTGGTCTGGAGTTTGAGAGAAAAATCACCCCAGAAAACTAGTCGTTCTCCCTACTGATGTCCTCGGACTGCTCCTACAAAGACGGCACCAGTCATAAACTTTGTCTTTTTAATAAAAAATAATCTGTATGTGACAAGCAATTTTTGAATTTCAAAACAAGGGAAAGGGGAGAGGAGAGAGGTCAAGGGGTCAGCCAGGGTGAAGGAGTGAACAAGGCTCAGATTACCCTTGCCATTCCAGCCAGGCCAGAAGGGATCAAAATCTGCCCCAACTGAAGCAAGAAGGGAGGTCAGCCTTCAGGAAAGACCTCCTAGGATTCAGCGGTGCACGGTTCATAAGAGGAGCAGGAGGAGGCAGCTCCCAACAAACCCCTAGAGACCCCTCGGAGAGGGAGTGTTGGTGTCCAAGGTGGCAGCTGCTTTCAGAGTGGTGTCTCCAGGAGCAGTGTGCTATCTTATGGTTGTTTAGATGTTTTGGTGTTTATCACCATAGGGTCCTGGAACAGTCAGGTGTTTGAGCTTCCTGGAGGAGTATGTTTCTAGAGGGTCCCGGAATGGCCAGAACTGAAGGTTCCTCTCTAGGTCCTCCCATCATAACCTAGGTCCAGTTCTGGGGCAACCCCATTGGAAAGCCCATGTGTTTGGTAGAAAGGAATGCCATCGGGGAATCAGGCAGCTGCGCCCGGCCCACTGAGTGCTGTTGATGACACAGAGCAGCAGGAGAAGCTCCTCTTGGGGGAGGAAGGTGGTCTTTTGTGCTCCTCCCACCCTAGTCAGGGCTGCACTGCTTCAGGTCCCCCAGCCAGTGTGGCCAGGCACCCTGCCCTACCAACAGCCCTCATCTGTGCCCAGAGTTTAAGCCACCTCAGTGCCCAGGTGGTTGTTGTCAGCGTCCACATCACTGGCAGAGGTCCTGCATTCCTTAGAGGGTTGGAGGTGCCGCTCCCTGCTCAGTGGGGCCTTCTCCCTGGAGGGCAGGGTCCCACAGCCCTGGACCTTGCCCCGGGCTCGGAGTGCCCCCAGTGGGGAGGTGAGGAGGATGATGAGGGCTCCTGAAAGCACTAAGGCAAGGAGCACAGTGACTGTGAGGAAGTGGGGCCAGTAGGACCGCTGGGCAGCCAGGGCGGCCCCACCACCGACCCTGGTCAGTGGGGCCTCTACGCGCTCCCGGGGAATGCCCGCCAGTTCAGGATCCAGGGCCAGGGACTGGTCCTGGCTGTCTACCCAGTAGGAGACCACGGGGTATGAGAAGTCATTCTCAGTGGCCCAGCACTGATAGAGGCCCCCCACCCCATCCCGCAGAAGCAGCAAGAGGGAGCCATTGTAGACTGTGGAAGAGGCTTCTGGAACGGCTGCTCTCCCATGACTCCAGTGGTAAGAGGCCAGGGCTGAGAGGTGGGGACAGGGGAGCTCCAGGATGGAGTTCGGGACAGCCAGGACTTCTTTAACTGTAGGTGAAGGAAAGGGGCAAAGGTTAGGGAAAGGGAAAAGGAAGGCAGGAGGGAGTCTCTGCCCTACATTTGGACCCCTACTCCCATCTGCAACTCCCATTTCAACTCCCAGACTCACCTCTGACCCCCTTCCTATCTCCTGTCTGGACCCCAAACTAATCGCCACTCCATCTGACTCCAACTCTGACACCAAAACCAACTTCACCCTCAATCCTGAATCCCAGCTTAGAATTCCTATCCCTCCTCCCTACAGCCAGATCTCAAATCCATCCTAACTCTGGGTGTCCAGGTCTCAAGCCAGGCAGGTGCTGGGGGAGAAATTGAGGCAGGAATGCCCACCCCTGCCCACAAGTCCTCCCCAGCCTTTGCACCTCCCCTGGTCCCACACTCACTGATTTGGGGGCGGCTCTGAGGCCGGTGGCTCCTGGGCATGGGGCCATTGGCACATGCCCAGTCTGGGTTCCCTCGCTCCATGTCCTGCTTCCAGGACTTCCTGAGAAGGCAGGGAAAGCAAAAATCATCCTTTGAAACAGACACAAGCGGGAAGAGGAGGAAGAAAGAGAGGGAAGTGCAGTGGGGAAGAAGGTGAGCCGGGGAGACAAGGTAGAACAGAAAGGAGAGGAAGAGAAACCCAGGACAGCTGCAGCAGCTTCAGAGCTGCTGGTGCAACTCCATTCCAGGAGGGACCCACCACAGGAGGGGGGAATCTTAGAGGGAATGTGTCAGTAAACCCTGGAGAGAGGAGGAACGGGAGCATAAGCTGGGTAAGAAGGGTCCTGGAGGGCCACCTTTGGCCACCATCCAGGACTGGCACTCACGGGATAGGGGTGGGCAGCAGGTGGCAGATTCGGGACTCAGGGTCCCAGGCACAGTGGGGGTCCCGGGCAAGAACACAGTCCATGCAGCTCTCATAGACACTACAGTTGGCTCGGGGAACCCTCCAGACGCCTCCTGAGAAGCCTGCAAACACTGCAGCCTGGAAGAGAGATGGAGAATGTCAGGGCACCCCCGTCACAGCTAGTAAGGACCCAGCACCCAAGGCCCACCCCATCAAAAGGTCCCTTCCCACCTGGGTGGGGGCCAGCTGCAGGTTTCGGACAGGTTCAGGATCAGGGAACAGCTGGATCTCCTCCACCAGATGAGCACCGCTGTCCCCACTCACCACAGCCTTGTGGAGGGACCCTGTGCCTGTGGAGAGAGAGAGAGCTGAGACTGTCTCACCTCATCCACAGACCCCTCCCCTGCTCCCTCTCTGACTCCAGATGGCCTCCCCAGCTGTCAGAAAGTTGCTTCTGAAGTGTAACGTGCACTGGACACAAACAGGTCAGACCATTTCCCTCTATGCCATGGAGATGGAGCTCCCTTGTAAACAGCGTGAAATCCCTTGCCCCTCTGTCCTTCCTTCGCAACTGCCTGATAAAACCCCACTCCTGGAGTGACCCAGACGTCCACTTTTTCCATGGACATGGAACAGTGGATAGCTGGGCACTTCTGTAGAAAATCATATCACCAGCCTCCCTCACCTCCATTAAGTGTCTCTACTCAAAGGCACTTCAGTGAGGTCTTCCCTGATCACCCTTTTAAAAACTGCAGCCTCCCTGGCTGGCATCCCTGACACCCCTTTACACTTCATTAATTTTCTAATCTTATAACATCCTAAGTAATTGACTCACTCAGTATGTTTATTGTCTGTCTCCATGTACTCCACAAGGACTGAGCTTTTTGTCTGTTTTGTTATTTACTGTACACCCAGTATACGCACAGCTGATACAGTGCCTAGCAACATGTCCTAAAAGAATGAATGAACCTGGCAGGTTTCTTCCACGAAAGCTCAAGGTCATCCACCTTAGCCAAGCCCTCAATCTATATGCTTGACAATCTTCCACTTTCCCCCGCTGACTCTCTCTCCTTCTTTCCACAACGACTCTTTGAATCTACCCCTCTCTCCTCAAACCTCCCACCTTTCCACCCCTCATCCCCAGCTCAAGACCTTGTGTCCTCCTACTTCATAAAGAACACAAAAGCCTTCACTTAAGATAAGAGCTCCCTCTGCTTCCTGCCTGCGCCCTCCCCCCACCCAGTCTAGACACCCACCCGGGCTTACCCTTTTCTATTCCTTCACCCTATCCCAGCAGAGGTGCTGTCCCTCCTCCACTCACAGCCACCTGTGTCCACCTGTGCCCTGGACTCTGGCTTCCTGCTTCCTCTGCAACTTCACTGCCAACTATCCCCTGGCCTGCCCATCTCTTCACCATCTCCCTCTCTACTGGATCCTGACAATCTTTCCCATCTTTAAAAAAAGAACGCTGGCTGGGTCCCACACGCTCCTCCAGTCACTCCCCTTCCTCTTCCCCTTCACAGCCAAGCTTCCTGAAGGAGTGATCTCTACACTTGCTGTTTCCAGCTCCCCTCTACCCACTCACTCTTCCCCTCTCTAACATGGCTTCCACCATAAGATAAATGGCTCTTGCTAAGGCCCCTACCAACCTGAAAGCTCAGAGAGGATAGGGATTGAGCTGTTTTGTTCCCCCACTGTATTTTCAGAGCCTAGCAGGGTGTCAGGCACATAGTAGGTGCTCAGAAAACATTTGTTGAATGAAAGCATGAATGGATGATCTCGAAGCTTCCCTCCTCAACCTGCTCTAGTTGCAGCCCCTGATCTAGTCCCCTGAGGGATGTCCTGGAGCACTTCACTCACTGGTGCCCAGGTACATGACCACGTGGCTGTGCCCATGGATGTCCTGGGCTGTCTCCACTGCAAGTCGTGTGTACTCCACACCAGACTTCACCAGCAGGGGTGTCCCTACCACCTGCTCATCCATCAGGAAATGGTCCTTCATGAAGGTCAAGGCTTTATCCGAGGAGGGGCCCACCGAGCACTGAAGGGGGAAGGAGGCAGATCAGGTCAGCTTTCTCCTTCCCTTAAGCTCACCCACTGTCCCCTCCCTCCCTCCCTCCCCCTCTGCTCATCTCCTTTGCCTCCCTCCCTCATGGCAGTCCTCATCTCAGGATGGTGGCTAATGCTCAGACTCTGGAGCTGCCTGGCTTTGAATTCCAGCCTCTGCATCCTGAGGTTCCTTAACAGTGAAACGGGCATATTACCAATACATCAAGGGCCTGCTGTAAGAATGAAATGCACTAATACGTGAAAAGTAATTAGAATGGTGCTTGGCACGAAGAAAGTATTAATAAATGTTAGCTGTTATCACAGGGGGAGGGGAGTCCTCCTCCCCTTCATCAAGGACACCTGGCAGCCAGCAAGAAGCAGGGTGAGAGCCTCTTGCAGGCCAAGACCATGTTTTACTCATGTCTGTAGCCCCAGACACAGCACAGGACCAGGCACACAGTTGGTGCCCAAGAAATGTTTGCTAAGTCAGTGATTGAATGAAAGATGTCACAGAAAGGGGTGGTGCAGCAGGGAGTGTTTCTCATCATGGTTTTGCATGAACTTGTTGCATGACTCTGGCAGAGTCCCTTCTTCATTCTGGGCCTCCTTTTTCTCACCCATAAAATGAGGGGGTTGGACCGGCTGTTCTCAAAAGGCCCTGCCAACACCAGCATGCTGTGGCTCCGGGACACCTGTGTCCTGATCATTAATCAGGATCCTTGTCCTCCACTGCCAAGAACACTGTCTTAGGGCCAGTCCCCACTCTGTCACCTACAAGCTGTGTCCTCAGACAAGTTACCCCACCTCTATGAGCTTCAATTTCCTCATCTGAAAAGTGGGGTAGTAACATCTACACCTCATTTTGGTGCCAGAATGAGCAGATGTACCTACTCTCGCTTCCTCCCAAAGGGATTTTTTTTTTTAAAGGCATAAAGCTTAGGGATGAGGAGAACAGGAGAGGAGGCAAAAGCAGCCACAGTTTGGAAGCTGGGAAGCAAATGAACAAATAGTAAAAGACTTGACAGGAAAAGAAAATCAAAGAATCTTCTTAAGTCAGTCCTGGGGTAGCCCAAAACTATCAGATTTATACGACAGAATTCCTAAAGTTCATGAATTAGCAGCCCCAGTCACCTCTGGAAGTGAGGTAAAAGAGAGGCTGAGTAAAGAAGACTGTTTGAAAGTCTGTTTAAGAAGCAGGCAGATCGCTTCCCAGCTCCATGCAGCTGGATGACTGTCCCTTCCACACCTTGGCCCAAGACTGGAGGTTTATTCTCAGGAGAGGGTAAGACAGAGGGTCTCTGGATGGAGGACAGCAGGCACAGTTGGGGAGGAGAGGGACACCATCATGAAAGCAAGGGATTAAGTGCAAGTAGGCACAGTACACGCTGAGACCCTTCCCCACACCCAGCGCTCTTCCCCCATGGCTCCAAGACACCAGGAGCCAGACCATCTCCCTCCAAGCAGAAGACTAGAAGAGTCTGCTCTGGGAAAACTGACTACTAAAGGTCCACGAGGAAAGACTTAAACATATTGACATTGAAGGTCCCCAACAAAACAGCCCAGCCAGACCATCCTCAGCGGAGCTACAATGGGAGCTCAAGTTGCCAAGTCATACCCACGGGTGCAGAGTTTCCAAACAGCTTTGTGGTCCCTCATTCCTAAATATGAGTAGATCCCAAGGACTACCAGACAGGTGAGTAGAACCATGAACATGAAAGAGACCAAAACAAACAAATAGAAAAAGCAAACAAACAAAAACCTAAGAGGAAAAAGAAATGACTCAGAGAAAGAAAACTTTACGGAAAAGTATCATTACTATCTTAAGAGAGATAAGTGAAGACAGCGTACCCATGAAACAAGAACAGAATGCTACAAAAGAGGATTCCTTACTTCAAAGAGGGCAGCCAGACACTGCTTATGTCCTGAAAGAAGACCACACTATCATGCAGTAGTCTTGCCCCTCAAAATCAAACTTTAATCTGATCAAGTCTCTAGATCCAACAACCAACCAATTTACAGAAAATACTTTAACTCCAGCACACAGATGCAAAATCATCAAGATCCAGACTGTGGAAAACTCTACATGACAAATAAATTGCAAGAGAAAAAAAGAAGATGGAAAGGGGACATACAGATTAAAAGAGACTTGAACAACCAGCACAAATTTATAGACCTTATTTGGATTTTGATTCAAATAAACAAACTATATTAAAAAAAAAAACTCTTATGAGATTATTAGAAATTTGAACACTCAATGCATATTAGATTAGGTATCATTACTAATTTTTTAGGTGTGATCACAGCACTGTGGCTATTTTCTTAAAGGCTTTCTCTTTTGGAGATACACGCTAAAATATTTATAGATAATATAGTGAGTGGAATGGTGGCCTCCCCAAAGGATATGTCCATCTAGAACCTGTGAATGTGACTTTGTTTGCAAAAAGGGTCTTTGCAGATATAATTAAAAATCTCAAGATGAGATCTAAATCCGATGACAAGTGTCCTTAGAAGTGGGGGAGACATACAGAGAAGAAGGCAAAATGATGACAGAGACAGAGACGGGAGAGATGTGTCTACAAGCTAAGGAACACCAAGGATTGCCAGCAGCCAACCAGAAGCTTAGAGAGAGGCTTAGAAGAAATTCCCCCTCAGAGGTGCCAAAGGGAACCAACCCTGCTGTCACCTTGCTTTTGAACTCTTGGCTTCTAGACCTGTGAGAGAATAAATTTCTGTTGTTTTAAGCTACCAAGTTTGTGGTGATTTCTTATGGCAGCCCTAGGAAAAGAACACAGGTAAAATGATAGGATATCCAAAATTTCCTTCACAATAATAAGGGGGGAGGGGGAAGGGTATAGTGGAACCAAGTTTGATTGGTTATGAGTTGAAACTGGCTGATGGGTATACGGAAGTCCATTATACCATTCTTTCTACTTTTTATAATTTGAAATCCTCTATGATAGGACATCTTTATAAAAGAGATATTCAAAGCTTTAAAAACCTGGGAAATTAAATATTTTAGCAGAAATTAAAAATCTGATAGAAGGCTCAGAAGATAAAATTGAGACACTCTCCCGGAAAATAGAACAAAACCAAAGACTTGGAAAATAGGAAAGGATTTAAAAAGTTAGAGGACCAGTCCAGGAGGTCCAGAAAGAAGTGAGAAAACATCCTAACATTAGAATGTCAGCTGGATGAGGAAGGGGACTTTTGTCCAGTGCCTAGAAGAGGGGCACATGGCCTCAAAAATATTTGTTGAATGAAGTGGAAATAGTTCAAGGAAACTTCCTAGAATGGAAGGAACTAAATTTCCAGGCTGAAGGGGCATCCTGAATGTCCAGCACAATAAATGAACAGGGTCCCTTCAAAGTACAATACTGTGAAATTTCAGAACAACCAGGGACAAAGAAAAGGCACTACAAGGTTCCAATGAGAAAAAAACAGGTGACACTCAAAGAGTTGGGGTCAGAACAGCTTTGGACTTCTGAACAGCAGCACTGGAAGCCAGAAGATAATAGAGCAAGCCTTCAAAGTTTCAAGGAAGATTATTTGAGTCCAGAATTACATACACCTAGCCAAATGTGAAAGCAGAATAAAGACATTTTCAGGCCCGCAAGGTCTCAAAAAATTTTACCTGCCATGGATCCCTTTCCAGGAATCTACAGAGGTTAGCTTCCACTAAAATAAGATAGGAAAAAAAAAAAAAAAGAGGAAGCCACGAGATGCAAGAAACACGAGATCATCACAAGAAAGAGTCAAAGGAAATGTCCAGAATGATGAGGAAGGGAAATTCCAGGATGGCAGCTGTGGCCTGGATGTAGAGGGCCTCCAGTCCAGAAGGCAGCAGATGGGAAGGATCTCCAGGAATATGAACCTGTTAGAACACCTAATGGATCTGTCTTCAGAAGAGATTCAGATAATTGAGGAAGAGTCTGGGGTTGAATTAAAGATAAGAGCTTAGAAAACAAAGCAAGTAAAAAAGAAAAAAGAATCAAGATAATTACTAACCTCAGGGGAAAAAAATTATGCAAAAAGGCAAAGTAATCATGGCTTACTACCTGGCTCAGCTGTGAATAGTAAGAGTCATAATATAAATATTGATCTAATCAAATTACTGTAAAACTATGTTGGGAGATGAGGGGTGGGTGTGGTGCTGTGTTGGTAAGGCAGCTCTGAGGTGGGGGCTGGGGGAGCCCTGATTTGTAGTGTTTGCTGATTTCTGTGGTATATACTCCCACCATGGCTGATTTCAAACTACCAATGTAGTAACACTGGACACGAATTTGGAAAGAGATATGAAAATGAGTTCTTGCTAGTTGCTGTCCCCTGGCTCCATCATATCACTGGGCGAGGGTGGAAGTGGGGGAACACAGTTAAATCCTCACCTTGCAGAATGAGAATTCAATAGATACTGCCTAAAACTAAACATCAAGAAGTAGCAACAGGGGCTGGCCCAGTGGCTCAGTGGTTAAGTTCACGCGCTCCGCTGCAGGCAGCCCAGTATTTTGTAGGTTCGAATCCTGGGCGTGGACATGGCACTGCTCATCAAACCACGCTGAGGCAGCGTCCCACATGCCACAACTAGAAGGACCCACAACGAAGAATATACAACTACCTACTGGTGGGCTTTGGGGAGAAAAAGGAAAAAAATAAAATCTTAGAAAAAAAAGTAGCAACAAAAGTATGTTATTTAGAGATTTGGAGATAAATACCAAAAGAACCAGCTAAAAGAGTTGAAGGTGATGGTCTCTAGAAAGGGAAAAGTGGAGGACAGGGAATAAGGCTATTTTTTGGAAACCAACTATGTAGAGCTATATGATTCTGAAAATGGTCAAAAAACAAAACAAAAGTTAAATAAAAAATGAAAGTGAAGACGGCCAAGACAGTGCTTGGCCCAGCCCACGCTCCTGTTTCCTCAGAGATATACCCAGGTATTTGGTGCATGCTGAGCTAGGGGGCATGGGGACGGCTGTGTGTACGATGGGATTGGACACCTGTGGAATCCGGGCAGCTGGACCAGGTATATATACATGAGCGGGCAGGACTGACGGGGCACGGGGGAGCACTAACATTTATTGGGCATTTATTATGCCTTGATAAGTGCTTCCACATTGGCATTATGCGTATGTCTCTGTGTATGGGCTTTGCTCAGTGTTGGGCATGGTACTCACGCTGCCTGGCCGCGGACTGATATCGGGGACCCCGTAAGTAGTCCAGCGTGAAGTCTCTTTGTTCAACTCCTTGTACTTCCCCTCAAAGACACGCTTGATGTTCTCGAGAGAGAAGGCACAAACAGCAGAGCTCCTGGTCCCGCCGATCTGCCTGGAGACAGCCAGAAGGGACGTTGCTATACCCGGAAGGCCCCCCTCCAGCCCTGGCCCACCCTTGGTGAGAAACCCCAGGAAGGCAGGAGTGAGGAGGGCTGGAGCAGTCTCCAGGGGCCTCTCCTTCCCTCAGCAGTGGTGATAAGGGCTAGGAGAGCCCCTGACTCTGACCTATCTTAGGATCTGAAGTGTGATTATCCTTAATGAGAATTAATTGGAGCTCAGGCCCTGGGGTGGCTCCTGCCTGTCCTGCCCAGTCTGGGCTGTACCCATGGGAGGGGCAATGTAACCAGCTCCCAACAGGCTCCAGATGTAGACCCCTTCCTTGGGTCCCATGGATTCCTGATCATCAGAGAACCAACCAGAGCCTGACGACAAGACTATTTTTATTCCTTCAGCCCTGGTCTGTAGAGACAGGTCTGTCTCTTTAACCTGACTGTGGCACACACCATGTTCTCATTTCCCGGTGTCCTATATATGAGACCCTGCTTACACCAGATATCTTTGGTACCTGACACATTGTCAGCAGGTACCCAAACACTGTGGGGCCAGGCCACAGCAAATCAGTTAACCTTTCTCAGTTTCCAAGCAATGACTTTATTTTTATCTTATGGTGCTAATGGTGTTTCCTTCTTTACTCAGGCCATTAGGAAGCTCAGAGCTAAATCTGTGACTGGCATTCAGGAACTGTATAAATGACAAACATTTGTAATGTGCTGATCCTATGCCTGGCTTCTCTTATTCTCCTCTTATTCCCATTTTCATATCGGTTTTATTTTAATGTCTGCCTTTTGTAAGCTGCCTCCTATTCTTTTTGGAATCAGGCAGGATATAAACTAATAAGAACCTCCCTGAGCTTTATTTTTCCCATCTACATTAAGGGCATGAGTCAAATTCCTGGAAGGTGGTGACGACCAAACGCTTTCCTACGTGGAGTGCGGAGTATGTGCTCGGCTCATGTGGGTTCCTGTCCCTCCTGGGCGAGCCAGGGCAACATGGGTGCTGGCCCCAGATCCCGCGTTCCCGCCCCGCTGCTCACCACTGAGAGGTGAAGACTGCGTAGACGCGGGACTCGGTAGAGGAATTGGCGGGCAGCAAGACGGCGTGGCGGATGACGTTGAAGGGCAGCTGCCCGGGCTGAGCACAAAGCAGCTGGGCCTTCAGGAAGGTGGTCCACTTCTTCTGCAGCAGCTTTTCGCCGCCCACGTCATTCTAGGGGCGTCGGCGGAGTCAGAGGGCGCCCGTCTGCCCCGCGTGTCCCCGCCCCCTGCCCGCCTCTCTCCACTCCCATTGGGCCCTATGTGCTTAGCCCCGCCTCTGCCGTCTCCCCACTGGCTCCTGTAGGGCCAACCCCGCCTCCCACCCAGGCTGCCCACCTTGCAGACTCTGGCCACCCGGGATGTGTGGAGTTTCTCGAAGAACTCAAACTCGCTGGCTGTCTCCTCGAAGAAGAAATAGACGACTTGGGTCGAAGGGATGGCTGCCACGAAGGAGGCGTCCGCTGCAAGGGCGGGGCAGATAGGCATAGGGATTGAGCACCTGGATGCCCTGGGGTCCCACAGCTAGCCGAGGGCTAGCCATGGGGGACGGGGGGAGCGACTGCTACTTCCTTAATTTCTTAAGGTAAGATGCCGGGAGTTTTGTCTTCTTCCCTGCTATACCCCAAGCGCCAAACAGTACTGCCTTGCACGTAGTATGCCCTCAACAAATGAGAGTTGTGTAAATTAGCAGCAGTTCACAGTGCCAGGTCTCCCGGACTCTGGGAATGGGGCCAGACCTGTGCTGGCTGGGCCTCAGGTCCTTACGTTGCAGCCAGCGGAGGAAATTGTCGGTCTTGAGGACAGGCTGGGATCCCAGCGTTCGGATCAGGATGGGCTCACTGCCCAGGAAGTTGTTCATGGTGCCGGAATAGAGCATCCCATCTATAGCAGGGGAGAGGTGGGGAGACCTTATCACCCGGAGGATGCCCCTGCCCTCCCCAGACCTGCCTCTGACTGGGGCCAGCATTTGCATCAGTCTCTGGCCCCCTTTATTTGTTCTACGCCTTCCTGTGGAGCCCCAAAGCCCAGCTCACAGTCCCCCACTGAGCACCCTCCTTAGGTCCTTCTGCCCACAGAGAATGGCCAGCCCTTGTGGCCTTCTGTGTTTTGGCACTTTTCCAGCCTTTCTCTGGCTACTCCCTCACACACCCAGCTGCACCACTTGCTGAATAGAATCACTCATTGTTCCGGAAAGGTGGCCATGTTTTCTGCTTTTACACCTTGGGTCCTACTCTTCTCTTCCTGGAACACTTTCCCTCCCCATCTTTCAAGGTCCTACTCAAAAGCTGAAGGCCACCTCCTCCACGAAGCCAGGGTGGGAAGTCTGTCATGGTTTGTGTCCCGGAGGGCACAGGGCCATGATTTCTTCTTTGTAACCCCTACCGTTCCTAGCACAATGTCTGGCACACCAGAGGAGGTGTTCACACAGTGCGTATTTGTTGAACAAATGACTGAATCTCAGGCTTCTCTTCCCGAGACCCCTCCTAGACCTTCCTGCCACTGTGTATCTCTCCACATCCATCTCTCTCCACCTCCTTTGTGGCAGCTTCAGCAGGAGCTCATGGTTGGGGTGCCTGATTCTCCCTCGGATCTTGTGCTCTGAGGCTCCTGGCTTCCCCTCCCTCTGTGCCCTTCCTTGCAGGAAACTGTGTCAGATTCCATATGTCACAGAGTGACCTGGGAAAGCGGATGTTGGGATGGACCCAGGAACTTGATACTCACCTGCCAAGACAGCTGTGTGTTTATGGGCGGGGTCAAAGGGGCTTTGGCCTTTTCCCTCCACAACCTTGTCCTCCAAGATGGGCAGCAGGTAGGAATCTTGGAGTTCCTAGAGGGGGGTAGAGGCTGGGGGGCCAGAACGCCAGAGTCTCATGTCCAGGAAATTTGGGGTTGTGAGGGAGGAAGGGAAAGGGACATAGAGTGAAACTGGTCTGGGGCTGGGAAGCTCACGAGGGTCCTGCATCTGGAAGGCCAGAGTTTTCCAGAGCTTCAGAGGATGGGCTGGGAGTAGATGTGAAGAGGGATGCATGGGGCCTGAGAGCTGGTTGCCAGATAACTCACAATGAAGGTACAAGCAGGGCTGAAGGCGAAGGTGCCGCAGGCGTAGAGATGGGTGGCATTGAAAGAGACCAGGACACGAATAAAGTTGAAACACTGTGTCTGGGGGAGATAGAGAAGTCAGGCCTTCAGGCCACTTGCCCCAAACTCCTGGGCCCTCAGAGGCTGCCCCTTCAGTTCCTAGCGGGGCTGGGCAGTGCTGAGGCAGTCCCTGTACATCTTTATAGAACAGGATGCAGGTGGTAATCATTGCAAACAAGCATCCTCCACTGTCTGCCCCACCTGAGGCCATCCAGTGATGGGCTGGGGATGCCAGGGTTCTCTACCCAGAGCCCCTATACCCTCACCTCCACTTACCTCATTGCTCTTCTTCTTAAAGGCACATTCACTCTTTTTTCTGTCACTGGCTGGCCAGGGTATCTGAAGTGGGGAGTTGGGAACAGGGAGACAAAGGGAAATAAGGTCTTTAGCTCTAGCTTTGACCTGCCATCCCCTCCTTGGCTCTAGTGTGAAATCACCAATAGGCATGGTAGTTAGTGACATGCTCATGGGCTATAATAACATCAATTTGTGACCATGGCTATTACTCTGATGACACTGATATTCATTAGGACACAGCTCCATGGTAGAACATGGCCTATGGAATCAGACAGACCTGAGTTTGAATCTAGGCTTGGTCACTTACTGGTTGAGTGATCTTGATGCCAATTGCACAGGCTTCTGGAGGGCACAACTAGGTACACATGTAAAGCACCTAATGCAATGCATGGTATGCAGAGCAGCAGTTGTCAAACAACACATTTCCTGGGGAAATTGTTAAAAATGTCAGTTCCTGGGTCATGCCTCAGAGAATCTGCATTTTTAACTGGCCTCTCATTCGTGCAGGTGATCCACAGACCACAGTGAGAAACACAAACCGTGGGGATGCTCAGTAGTTGCTAGCCCCCTCCCCCTCTTTTTTCCCTCCTTCTCCCCCACGTTGTTCCCATATAACTATAATTTAACACAGAAGCTTCAGTTATTTCTACCAGTGGGTGGATATCACATTATTGATATAATTTGAGTCAATGTTTCTCTCATATGTCAGTGATTTCCATATCAGCCATTTTAGCAGTTAATTTTATTCAACCAGTATTCATGATACCAGCGAACAGCAAGGCCACTATAATGTTTTTTGTCTGTTATGTGGACCATATATATATGTATATATAACAAGAATTGCTGATTATTGCTGATTATAGATAACAGCAATCTGGCAGTTATTCATGCGTAGGCAGCCCAGGTATCGAGCAGTCGCTGGTCCCCTCCTCACTCCCAGCCCATGCCCTTTATCCCTAGCCTACTCACCATGTTCTTCAGCCTTGGCACCCCTGGATCCTGGATATTCAAGGCCACAATGGCCTCTCGAGTCCCCACGTAGAGAGTGCCTCCGTCACCACTCAAGAGCAGAGTGTCGAAATCCTGGAGACCCTTCTGGTGGAAGAGGCTAAGAGCCCTGCGTCCGTCCCCTGTTGAGAGGTGTTGAGAAGGGATGAGTGATGAGGAGCTGGTGGGAAGGTAGCTGACTTATGAGACAAAAGTAGGGGAAGGGGAAAGATTGGCAGAGTCTGTTCCTCAGACCTTGGCAGCTGGACCCACTGTTCATCAGCGGCTCCCCCACTTTGCCCCTCCCTGCTGGCAGCCATAGGAGCTCTGTATGTTGAGGCCACAAGAGAGAGGAGAGGCAGCCAGAAACAGGGTAATGACAGCCTGGGGCTAGGGGTGGGTGGCCTGCACCCAAGGGACACACAAAGGGACAGGAAATAAAGTAAGGCACAATGGATGCTCTTCTAGGGCTGAGGGGCTGTGGTGGGGGAGGACAAGTTGTCCCTCACTGGCAGGGGGAGCAGAAGGCAGATAGACAGACAGGAAGGTGTTGGCAGCCACAGCAGGAAACCTAGACAGTGTCAGAGGTGCTGTGGGTGTAGGGGTTCCACTCACCAACCCCACTTCCTTCCCCTCCTCTACTGCAGGAAATTTCCACACCTAAATCACTGCCATAGGGTGAACAGAAAGGAAACATTTTTCTTCAGTGTTCATGCCTGGGTGTCCCCTGGGCAGGGGAGGCGAGCCTAGGGGGCTCACCTAGGTCTTCTCCATCACTTTGGTGTAGGGCTGGTAGTGGTGTGTGTGTCTGTGCCACTGGCACTTCGGCAAGGGGCTTCTCAAATCCTCTCTAGTTAGAGAACTGACTAGCTAATTGTTACCTTTGGAGGCTCAGAGAAATCTTAAACAGGACCAAAAGGAGGAGTTGGGGAATCACATGTGGCTAGGTGCTGGAAGGGCCAGCCTCCCCCAGAACTCTATACACCCCTCAGTTGCTGAGCTGATCACCCTGTAGCATGCTTGTCTGATTACTTATCTACTTCCCCATCAGGACTCTGAGCACCTTAAGGGCAGGGGCTGAGTCTTGTTTATGTTGGTAATGCCACCACCCAACACAGAGGAGTCCTCTCCATCAATGGGCAACGTGCATTGCCTTGACCAGGTTGCCCCAGAAAGGTGCTAAAGACACAGCAGTGCCCAGGAGACTAAGCCCCTGCAACTCCTAGAGTGTCCGTGTCCTTTCCTGAATCTTCTCCCTGGAGGTGAGAGGGCCAGCAGCCCCCACAGCCTCAGAAAGAAACCAGCCAAGCTGTGCCTATAGGGTCCCTGGGCCCATACCCCAGCCAGGCCTCCCTAACTTCTCGTATTCCTGGTGTCCATGGGACTAGATATGGCATAGTCCACCGTGATCTGTGTGGTTGGCACGGGCCTGGTGTGTCCTAGGTCACTAGGTCCACAGATGATCTTCTAGCATGGGCCTTAGTTTGGGGACACCTGGGGGTGTTAAAGCAGTTAGAGGTTTGAGGTGCCCAGCTTGATGACAGTGACATTTAAAGAGGGAAAGAAAAATCACCAACTTTGGAGAACCAGAAGGAGCGGTGCCCCAGCCCTGTGGCCTGCTGTCCTCAGTCTTTGCCCCAGGCGGGTTTCAGCATTCACTCCTGTTTCTAAATTTCTATTTCTGGCTGATTTTCTCTCTGAGGCCCCCTATCTCTCCCTGGCATACCGCGGCCCCCCGCCCCGCCAGCTCACTGTTGCCATCCCCATACTTCCTGGCCATCAGACACTCACCTGCGTAGTATTTGACCCTGGGCATGGGCCCCTGCCCACTACCCCCTGCAGTCGGCGGCGGCAGCAGCAGCAGGAGCAGTTGGAAGAGGAAAAGGCCCAGGAGGCTCCAGGGGTCCAGGCCCAGGACTGGAAGGGCCATGCTCAGCCAGAGGCTGTCACCAGACGTCTCTGGGGAAACAGGCACCGGGCACTCTCTGAGTGAGCAGTCTTACCACATCCCCCCTGGGGACCAATCACAGAGTCCCAGCAGCAGAAGTGTATATGGGGGGAGGGTGGTGGGGGAGGAGGTGAGGGTGTTAGGGGAGGGCACGGTTCCCTCTTGGAGGGCCCTCAGAGTCTCACTTCTATCATCTCACAGGCCTCAGCCTGCTGCCTCACTCTCCCCTCTGAGTAGGAGTCCAGCTGTTCCATCCTGCCCTTCGGATCTCTTTTCACCAATAGCCCTGCTCTGCCTTTTTTTTTCTGACTCTCAGGGAAGTCCTTCTTGCTATCTACTCCTTGCCCTCCTCCTTCCCATATCCCAGAGCCCAAACCATTACCTGGCCCTGGGCAGGGGACTTTCTGGGGGAGCAGATTCCTGACTCAAAATATAGATTGCTCTGACTCTCCTGGCACTTTGAGATCTGTTGATACCCTGTGCCTCATATTCACCCCTGCCCTCTGATGACCCAAGCCAGCAGACCAAGTCTGGATCGGCCTGCTCTGACCTTGCCCCCAGCCCCAGCTGGGCTCTGATCTTTGATGCTCAGGCCTCCTTGGCCCTCTTCTTTGAGACTCTCAGCACTAGGCCATCAGCATTGCCTGGGGAGTGGCCCAGGGCAGGGGGTGGCTGGCACTCTCCCAGCCTCTGCAGCTACCCCGTCTCCCTCTGGTCTCACACCTCTGCTGTCTGTCTCCCTGGGTCTCTGCATAATCTTCTCCCAGGACCGCCAACCCCCAGCCACTCATTTCATCTCACGTACCCTTGGGCCAGCCACAGTCTGGAACCCAGTTGTCCGGACTGCCGAGCGAAGGTGCCATCCAAGAGAAAGAAGGAGGGGGATTCCCAGGCCCCAGAGGCAGGGGACAGGAGGCTCAACCTGGCTGGGCTGGGAGTGCGGCCCTCCAGGTACCCATAGTGCCAAAGCCAGCACTGGGAGCTCTGGGCAAGGGAAACCAGAATTTCCACCTCTCGAGTTCTGACAGATCCCTGGCTTGGGCGGAAGTTGGTGGATTGGGAGGGGAATAAAAGGAGACACACCTCTCTCTTTCCCTCTCCTCCCGCCTCCCTCTATCCAGAAAGTTTTAAAGGCCAGAAAGTTTCTAGGTTATTTCAGCCATTCCCCTGTCCCTCTGTCACATCACATCCAGTCTAACCAGGCTAGCGGTGGTTTCTCCTCTTGCTCAAGATTCCCCTGATAGGAGACATGACACTGTCTTCCGTATTCCTCTTTTTACTTACGCACAAGGTAGGGTCTCTCCACTCCTACCTACTGGGAAATCCCTGCAGTGGTCTAACCTTCAAACCTCCCACTTCCAGCTGGGCCATAGTCTTTAAAAAATAAAACAATTGCCTTAGGCTCTTATCCATGGCTTTGCTGAGGAAGTGCCTCCTATAGGCTAATCTCCATCACTCTTAGGGCAGCATCAGGCCAGCGGGAGGCCCAGAAAATTTCCCATTTGAGCTCATACTTCTGGAACATACTGCTGAGGCACCCAATCCCCCCAGTAGTGGCTGCGCACCCCTCCCTGAAGGCCCCAGGGGGAACTTCATGATGCAGGGTTAATGAGGTATCTAGTGCCAAGGGCTTCGTGACCTATAAAGTGGGTAGTTTCCTGCCCACTCAGGCTGAGACCAGCTGACTGCTGGTTAAAGAGCACAGCCATCCAAGGGCTAATCCGACTCCAATAAATAACCCACCTCCTTCTTAAACACACGTTCCTCATGGTCAGGAAGTCCTTCCTGTAGTATAACTTCCATCCCTCTTGCCACAGCACCAGCCTACCGGGTGATGGTTCAGCCCAGGCTACTCCTTAGAAGAATTCCTTGTCAGAGCCTGCTCAGCCTTCTTTCCTTCTCCCTCTGCTCCCATTTCCCTCAGTTTCCCCGGGGGTTGGTCTCAGCCAGACCCTCCTGACAACTGTTTCTGTCAAGACTTGCCTTAAGACTGCCCCAGACTCACAGAGGCTCCTTGTCAGATGCTTGGGAGAAGCCATGGGCCAAGCCACCCAGAAAAAGTCTTCTGGCCTCTCAGAATCAGGGGAAACTCCTACCTGGACCCCACCTTCTCTGTCTCCCCAACCCCCAGCTTGGATTTGGACACCTCCCCTGCCCAAACCTCTCTGCTTGAACAGATTGGCTTATCTAGGTCATTGGGAGGAGTTCTGATGGGGGGTAAGGTGGGGGAGGAAGTTCCAGCCCCACCCTCCATGCCCGTTGCCCTGTTCCCGCCTCTCTGGCAGTGTTTGATTCAATGCCCTGCTCCTAGTTGCTCCTTCTCCAGAGACCCAAGAGTTCTTCTGGCCCCAGGTCTCCCTTTCCCCAGCCCCTCCAGCCAAGATGAATAGTTTGCATAATCAGGCTTTGGTCTACCCAACAATTTTAGCAGATAGGCATCACCATATTCCCATTTTACAGATAAGGAAAGTGAGGCTCAGGGAGGTTACACAGCTAGAAGCTAAGCTAAACTTATATCTGCTTCATTAAAAAGCTAACACCTTAGCTACCCTGTCTCTCCAAAGTCCTGCTCCTGCAGTCCCCACTCCTGCCTCGGTCCAGGAAACTCAGCTGTGAGCCACCTGAATGGAGAAGGCACCCGTGGAGGGTGGGGGGTGGCACGCTGTAGCTCCTCTGGGCGAAGAAACAGTATCTCTGGGATGATTCCTGTCTCAAGAGGGAACAGAAACCTCTCAGAAGAAAGGCTGTCCAGTACAGGTTCCACCCCCTACCTCCACAAGGGCCTCCTGGTCCAGGGCCATGGAGGAGCCGGATGGGGAGGAAGAGCACCTGCCGCCTGCCACTGCCCATCTCGCACCAGAGCTTCTGAAGTCAGATCCAAAGTCACGCTGCCATCTCCCTTGCTGCAGCTGGCAGAGCCCACAGCCAGGACTGCTTCATGGGCACATGACCTGAACAGTCACACAGGGCTCCACGCTCAGAAGGACCCACACTTTGTCTAATACTCCCCTGCTGCCGTCTTAAAAGTCTTGATCATTTTTGAACAAGGGGCCCCACATTTTCATTTTGCACTGGGCCCCGCAAATGATGTAGCATGTCCTGCCCACAGCATCCAGGAAGCTCAGAGCTGACAGGGTTCCACTCCCTCCCACACTGTACAAATGCAGAAACCAAGGCCAGGGAGGAAAAGTGTCTGGGCTGGGGTTGGAGTCAGGCAGCAGTTCGGGTGAGGTGGCCATGAGAAGGGGTCAGATGTTCAAGGACCAGGCCATTTCATAGCCCCAGTGTGAGAGCTCCCCAACTCCTCTCTCCCCAAGCCCTGCAGCCCACCCTGGGGACTCCCCATGACAACTATGCCAAGTTCAGCCTTGCTCCCCTGCCCCAGGGTCCATCTCCTACGGGGACTCCTCCCCCATGGCCCCTAGACCACATCAATCAGTAGCCCCTTCCTGCCAGGCTCTCTGGCCCAGACTAGAGATCTAGATGTGGAGGTGGAGGTGGGAGGGGAGATGGAGATGTCGCTCCTCATCCCTACCCCATGCTCACCCAAGGGGCTCTGTCTCTTCTGCACCCCTAGGGAGCATGGATACCTCACTGAGGGAGGGGCTCCTGGAGCCTGGAGAGAAGCCACTCTTGGCTTCGCCAATGCCCAGTAGGTCCAGTTTCCCCTACCCCATCTCCCTTCCAGCCTCAGGGGCAGCCTCAGAAGAGCGCAGTCCTGGGGAACCCGAGCTTCCTGGCTCGCCTTCCTTAGCTCCACCTCCCTGCCCCTCGCTCCCATCTGTTTATGATCACAAGCAAATCCAATCAACTTAGATGTGTTAAGTGCCTACTGTGTCTAAGGCACTAGTGATGTCCCCAAGCCTCTACTGCCCCAGCATCCCCTCACCTCTTCCCACCTCCACTGCCTCCCAGCCTTCTTGCCACCTGCCCAGCCCAATCCCCCTACTCCTTACCCAGTGCCTCCGAGGGTTTCTCTTCCAGCCTGACTAGTGCTGGAAGGCTGAGCTGAGTATCGCACACAATGGCCCGACCCCCTCTGTCTGCCCCCTCCTCAGGGCAGAGCCAGCGCCAGACAATGGCCTGCCCTCTCCTCTCAGAACTGTCAGCTCTCCTCACTCCCTTACCTGGAGCTTGGGGATGCCGCCGCGTTTCCCTCCCCCTGGAATGCCGGCCGTTCTGTCTCCCAGTGCCTTCGTCCCTGCCACACCCCCGCCCCTCATCCCCAACCCCATCCCACCTCACTGGTCCTCAGTCACCATGGCGACCGCATCACTAAGTGGGAGGGACTAGAATCTCCCCATATTCTTCCTCCTCCTACCCATGTCCCCCTGTGCCCCACCTTCTGCGGCTCCTGGATCTACATGTGTGGAGGAGGCGGGGCTGCAGCTGTGGAGGGAGGCGGGGAGGGGGCACACTAGCCCCCAGCGTCCTTTCTCAGCTCCCTTGCCCACTGTCAGGCAGGCACCTTGGTGCAGATGTCCCCTAGCTGGGTTCAAGGTTCAGCTGGGGCCAATTCTGTTTTATGGTCAGTGTCTCTGGGTTTCCCTCTTTGCTGGGAACTGTGTATATGTAGGCGGATCACACATGGATGCCGGCCAGCCTGACCTCATGCAAATTGAGTTTGTCAATAAGGATGTAAATGAACATACAAATATCTATGCAAATAAGCCAAGAGACAAGGTCTCTTCTCTGTCAAGAAGCCTAAGAAGCTGTCTTCCATTAATATCCTGACTTCCATGGGAAGAATGGGTGATTATTCCTAAACCACCTTACCAAGAAGATGGTTCCCCCAGAAGCCTTCTTTGGCTAACCCCCTGAGACCTGTCAAGAGGTGAAGGTTTGTGCTGTAAGAGGAACGTGGAGGGCAGACTCCACGAAGGACTTTCCAAAGATCTAGACTAGATAGGGAATAAAAAAAGAGACAAGCCTGAGCTGGATTCCTTCCCACCTGTGAGGGAGCAGAGGCAAGCAGGGGTCTGTGTGCAAGCTTTGGGAGCTGGCCCTCCTGTTTTCTCCCAGCCCTGATCCTGAGCAACCCTGGTTACCAGAGCTCCCTCCAGTACCTGCTGGCCTTCAGCTTCTTCATTGGTAAAATCAGGAGTTGGAAAAGCCCCTTCGAGGCTGGCTTCTCAGTTTGTGGGAAGTCTGTGAAAAAGACACCATGGGGCTGCGGAGCAAAAGCCCTGGGTCCCAGGCCTGGCTGCCTGTAACTTGCTCTGTGATCTTGGGCAGGGCACTTGCCCTCTCTGATTCACATAGGTAAAATAATGGCTTTCCAGCCTACCTTGGAGAAACTTAGCTCCTCTCTTGACTTAATAGTATTTTTAGAAGGAAGGAAATGAGTGTGCTGGTGCCAGCCCTGGGCAGAGGGCTCCATAGGCCAAATCTGGTTCCCTTTTAGGTCTGGGCTGGGGTGGCGGATGAGCATTTCCGTCTGGGGTGGGGCAAGGAGGTCATGGTCATGGTGCTGAAAGCAGAAGTGGACTCTGAGCAGGGCTGCTATGACACCCCTCACCACTTCCTGACACTCCATCCTCGCTGCCCTCAGCATCTAGGCCTTAGGGACTCACAGGGCCCCTACTTGTTCAGACTCTTCTCCCCCAGCCCTGGGAGACATGGTAGGAGGGGAAGCAGTGATTTGGAATCAAGGTGGCAGGGACTAGAGGAAACTGAACTAGTGCTGTAACAGGAAGAAAGAAGGTTGGAGAGCAGGGACTTCACACCCAGGGGATGTCCTTGGGTCCCTGCCCCCATCTCCTTCCCATTTCGGGGAATTGGGCCCAGTCTCTGTGGCAGAATTGGATAGGGGCTACATTTCTGAAATGATCCAAGGGAGTAAAGTAGGGGGAGCCTACAAGCTTCCCCTGGCTCCTCTTCATGCCGGATTACCCAGCTGGGCTTCAGGGAGCCTCTCCTGGCCTTGACATATGGAAATCAAAACTTCCAGGAAGGAGCTAGGTTGTTCTGATGAGGGAGCAGGGACCTAGTCTTAGGTGGTGGCCAGGACTGTAGTT